ATATATATATATATAATATATATATATATATATATATATATATATATATATACTATATATATATATATATATATATATATATATATATACTATATATATATATATATATATAATATATACATATATATATATATATATATATAATATATATATATATATATATATATATATATATATATATATATATATATATATATATATATATATATATATATATATATATATATATATATATAAATGTATTTAATATTACTTTTAAGGTAAATGTATTTAATATTACTTTTAAGGTAAATTTAAACTAAACAACACAAAAAACTTCAATTTATATATATATATTCATATATATATATATATATACATATATATATATGAATATATATATATATATAGATATATATATATATATATATATATATATAACATTTCTTTTAAGTCGAAACATTCTTTATTAGGAGAAAAATGTTTTAGGAAAAATATTACGCCTACTGTGTAATTGGATGTCTTGGTGGGCGTACTTTTTTTTTAGAACAACAACTTTAAATAGTAAAATCACATAAATTCATCATTTGTGACATTAATAAAAAACTTGTAAAAATATTTTCATTTTTAATCGTAAAAGACATATTCTTGTTTGCTAAAACAGCATAATTATTATTTCCTTTCTTCAGGTTTTGAAAGTATTTTGTCCAAGAGACAATTCGATAAACAAGTTAGATGAGTATAATTGGTTTTAAAGTTTAAAATAATTGAAATGAGTTTTGTTATTTAAAATGATGGTTACCTAACATTTATAAATGCTACACAGGCAGTAATCAAACGGTCGGGTACTTTTGTACATACCCAACAAGCACTGTTTTAGTGAATTTGCAAGGGACCTATAATGGCTTTTTTTTAACGGTTTGTTGGAGTTTTGATCATCGGTTTCTTAGTGGGCTATTTGTGGCAGCCAAGATAATTTTTCAACATTTTAATAGCGACTAGTCATAGGCTAACCAATTTTAACGTCTGCCACTAATTGTCCACTGAGTAACCGATGAGAAAAACTACAGCGGTCCGCTTAAAATGCCTATATGGGTCCTCTGAATAACCGCTATTGCATATTTGCTGGGTATGTACCCGTTAACTGCTCTCAAATTAACTAACCAATTTTTATTCCCCATTTAAGAAGAGTAGTATTTGCTTTTAAACAAAGTATTATATTTTAAGTTTGTTTGTTTTGATGTATAATTGTTATACAGTTATTGTATAAGTTTTTAATATATAATAGTTTGCTAACTTTTAAGTTTATACTTTTAAAGATTATATCATTATATATCTTTTAACTTTACTTTTTATAATAATATTTTTCCAATAATGACCTTTATTTGTTAAGAACTCAAAGTATGTCCAAATAATTTGACTTCAAATCAACTTAAAAATGGTTGCGATGGTAAGAGTTTTTTACTTTATTTTTTACTCATTATATCTAGTTTATTTTATTGTTTAATGATTTTTATAAAATCTTTAATTTTTTTTAATTTTAATAATAAATTTTTTACTTAAAACACGTAAAAGATGCCTAGTTTGTTATTGCAGTTTGTGATTGCTATATTTGTACAAGAAGCCATATTTGGTAAATAAAATCTAAAATCAATACGGCTGCTTGATTTTTGAAAATTATTATTTATGACTTTTAAATCTCATTATTAATACTTTGGTTTGCACAATTGTTTATTTGGAATACACTTTTGTTTACATTTATATTTATACCGAAAACTTGGAATAAACTAATACTTTTTTTGTTTTTTTCGAATTTTTAAGCTATATTTTTCTATACAATATTCTTATATGTTCAAAGATATTATTGGCTTAGCAAAGGAGTACCCAAAAATAGTCGTTAATACTAATCCATAGTAGCTTCCGTTATTGACCAACAATTTTGCGTACCGAAGTACTACTGAAGCGCTGAGTTGTCGGTGGCAGGATTTGAACTCGTATCGTATAAAATTCCGATACATAATATTAATTGGTTATTTGATTTTTCTATTTTAAACACTCTCTATCTTTAAACGATAATTCTCAGATTACTAAATTGTTTTTTCTCAGAAACTAGGTTTCAGAGATTATTATGAAAAATAAAAATATTACCAATTCAAAAATAGTTCTAATTTAAATACTTCTTCTGAGAATATAGCAAAACTATTGGCAATAAATGTTTTCTTTAATTAATATCTTGAATCTGTTAACCACATTTCTCTTGTCATCCCAAAGAAATGTATTTAGCAACTGTTAGACATAAATTACTTCAGTTTCTGCTGGTATAGTTGTTTTTTACTTAAACTTCTCTATTTTTTGTGGTCCAGACAGCACTCCTATACAGTAATATAAAAGTGTTTTCCAGAACTCTTAAATCAATGTAAATTGTTTATCTAATGCTTAACTGAATCTTATTTTCCTTCATGCTGCAAAATGGAATCTCTGCCTTTAATTATAGAAATTTTGAAATTTGACCCATTTAATTATGACTTAGTTAAAAGAAAATTCTATAAATCTTTTATTAAAAAACGTCAAAGATATCATTCTGAGTCAAAAAAATAAAACTATGAAAAGTAATGCATATTCAATACTGATTTCAATTCTCATTTTCTTCTGCTGACTTTTGTCTGAATTTTGTCCTTAATGGACAACACTCTCCATTTATTTAAGGTTTCATACTTATTTTTTTGTTGTTGTTTATGACACAATGTACTTTATTCTTGACAAAAATGGACAATATAGTTGATAAAACAGCTATATTTTCAGTTTAATCTTGAATCGGATTTCTCTTCTAAGACGGCTTTGTGTTTACAAATTTTAATTCTGAAAATTTTTAAACAAAACTTCGTTGATTATTTTTTTTTTCACAATTTTTGCAATTGTGTGGAGATTGGTAGATATTGTTTCAAATCATAAGGTATTTGGAATAAAATATTTAGCGTTTTTGTTAATATAAATATTTCGTCCTGGTTTATGGTTTTTAATCAGGCTTGTGGAGCGAAAATGGAGCCAGGAAACTGCTGTTTTTTGGTAGAGTCAAAGTACGGCCGTGACGCAGTGGTTAGAGGGCTTGCTTTATAAGCAGGAGATCCAGGTTCAAAACGAGCCTTGGACATATTTATGCGTCACGGTAAGAAAGGAAGCGTGAACTTTTGGTTAAATGCACTTCCGCGGTGCTCTGTGACAAGACCGCAAGGTCTTCTTAGGGCACCTAAAAACAATTAAAAAAATAATTAAAAAACAAAAGAAAGTCGGAGTCGGACCCGCAAAAACCAAACGGCTCTTAGTTCTTGTGTTTTTTTAATGGAGTAGAATGTTTTTTTTATAATTTTTTTTTTACAGTTGACAACTATTTTTAATTTAAAGAATGAAATCTTTATAAAAATTGTATTTTTGTTAGATTTATTAACAAAAACATCTCTAAAAAAAATCTCGCAAAAACGTAATGAATAACAAGATGTATATATTATTAACTTTGAATTTAACAAAATACTATGCTTTAGTAGCATTTCCAATTGTGCTTTATTAAAAAAAAAAAACAAGTAAGTTATATATGGAAGCATTCTAACAAGTTTTATATATCGTTTATATAATATTTTTATATTGATATCATGTTGTTATATATTCGATGCTTTATTTAATGATCAAGTTGTTCATATCTTATAAATTATAATTTAATTTAGAACTATAAAGCCTAGTTTTGGGTTAATAGTACATAGAAGTAAATTTATTTAACCTAAATATTTTTCTTTTTAAATATGAAATGCGGTAATAGAATAGTGAGAGTAATTTACTCTCCTTAAAAACACAAAGTTTGATTAAAAATTAACTGTTGTAATTACATTTGATTCGGATAGACATTTAGCAGTTTTTGTTTATAAAATCTGGGAGCCGGAAATTTCTTATGTAGCGGAGCCAAAACACAAGCTGTAAAAAAAACTCTTGACTTAACAAGCCTAAGTTTGTAATGCCAGAAAGTTTAACTATTTCTCACTTTGAAATATTTATTACTAGTAGTAATACTTATTTTACTATGAAAGACAATCTTAACAAACTTTGTCAAAATTTGTCAAATCTTTACAAAATTTGCGTTTCTAAATTGTTTGAGTCATTAAACTAATTCGTTTCAGTCAGAGTTCATAATTTTTTTCTGTGTTGCTTATTTAATATTTATGTTTTTCCATCAATCACAATACCACAAACTTGTTTCTGTTCTGCGCAGGGAAGTAAATTTATCAATATACAAATTTTTTTATTTTAAGGCTGTGCAACTGGTTATAAATTATATTGTAATACTTATTTTACTTTGAAACACAATCTCCACAATCTTGTTTCTAATTCCATAATTTAATGAAAAAAAAAAAAAACATGTTTTATTTAAAACCAAGCTAGCGAAAAGTGTTTTCAGTAATTAACTTTTCATAAAATGTTTGACTCAACAAACATAATCGTTTTCACTCAAAACTCATTATTTTTTTTGCGGTTGCTTATTTAATATTTATGTTTTTCCATTAACCAAAATACCACAAACTTGTTTCGCTACTGCGCAGATAAGTTTATCAATATGCAAACTTTTTTTAGGCTGTGCAACTGGTTATACATTTAATATTATATCTGGTCAATGTGAAGGTATATAGTTTTATTTTTTTTATATATATTATTATAATTTAATTACATATTTATTTATTAATTTTGCTGTTATTTTACACTATGTAGAGAAAAACATGCTATAAATAGATTAGAACTAAATTATTGGTTTCAATTAATTGATACTTTACAGTCCTAAAGTTCTTATAGGTATATCTTATAGTTTTATAGTTATTTTATTGAAGTTGTTAAAAAACTGTTGATGTTTTTACAAATATTACCAGTGCGCAACCAGAGGCAGTGTAGGTCATTTGTAACATAACATTTTTTGCTGAAAAATCTATGATAACACTCGGAGAGAAGATTGTTAGATATTAGGTGATGCATAACTTTCTATTTGATTTTGAAGGTAATATTTGATTATAAGGTAAAGAAAAATTTTAATTTGCTTAGCGTGTTGTGCTCAAAAATTTTGCTTAGCGTGTTGTGCTCAAAAAGAATAAATTCCTGCCGGTGTTTCATATTTTACAAGTTCTTGAACCAATCCCTATCTAAAAGAATACAATAAATACTTTACATATTAAATTTACATATTAAATTATTAAATGGTGTTTATACAGCTCGTATAAATATATGTATTAACCATTTGAAGGCCTCAACGGAAGAACGATCAGAGTAAAACTTTTGCTGTTTTGAGAAAATCAATTTTTACAATTTAAAACACCATCATGTAGTTCAACGAATTAAAATTACCCCAAAAATCATTTTATTTTATAAAACATTTATTTCTCAATATAGCAATTCAAAGTTTTATGTAAAAATATTGGTTTATATGTTTAATATTGATACTGTAAAAGGGGAACTGCTGTTTGGACTTTGATCGTTTTTCCGTTGCATCACACCAATACATGCCGAAATATTTCACAGGTTAGTTCCTAGAGACTTATTCTCATAACAAGTTTTTTTAATTGATTACCAAAGATTTTTAATTGATTACCAAGATGTTTTGTAGCCTGGCTTTAGGAAATCTTTAAATGCCTTGAACATATTCTGGTCGCAGGGAATCGCTGTAAAGGAAGATGACTTGACACGTGCATTCCTGAACACTTGAACCCACTGGCTGGGAAGATCCAGATCTGTTGACTCTTTGGTAAGGGTCATGTCACGGTCACATTCAAGATATGCATGACCACGGATTGGAAACCGGATTTAGATGCGCTCAAATCGCTTGTTTGTGTTTACCAACCAATGCATAAATCTAAAGAGAGTATAATTCTTGTTTTACCCTGCACCCCCATCACAAAAAAAAACAAGTCTTTTCACTATTTGAGGAAAGTATGTCTCTATGAAGTGATAAAGCATGAAGACACATCACTAGCACCATTTTTTGCAACAGTCTTATCTTAAAGGTAGAAGTATACATCGTCTGTAGACAGCACGTGGACATTAAAGGAGACACAGGTCAGTTGACGCTTGTAATAAATATCGTTCAAAGTTTTGTTGGGAGTGCATAAACTTTTCTGAAAATCGAAAACGACTGCCTCTGTAGAACTACCTATTCGTAGGAGAGGTCCCTGAATTTGGCATTCTCTTCATCTTTGCAAGGTCGCTGCTTCTCCACTGCTTTTACCTTTAAATAAATATCATTTCATTTATTTTCAAGAAACAAGAGCAGTAAGTGTGCAGTAATTTTTTTACTCGGTGTTGTTATTATTTTGTAGGATGTTTACAAAACTGATGCCACAACATAGATAAAAATGTATTAAATAAATGAACAAAGTCGAATGTGATAAAAGAAAGTTTACCATTTAACCAAAAAGGATAACAGTTATAGCAAATTTAATTTACAGTAATGTAGAAAGTTTACAGAACACATAGGCTATAACACAATGTCGCTAATAAAATAAATCTGCCTGAAATGAAGCGTGCCTGTGTTGATTAATGAACCTATATTTATACTATTTTACAGGATCTAAGAAAAGTCATAATCTAGAATATGGAAGAAATGCTACTGCTGCTGTATTATATAATAAACTCCCCGAAAAGAAACAAAAGAGCTTTCTATCCTATGCAGAAATTCTATACACTAGTAAATTTATTATCATTGACCCAATTATTTTTACCCTGACCTAATACACATAAATAAATCAACAAAACAGCTGAGAATGCTCCACACACGTCTAAGATAATTTTACTTACATAACAAAGTTTAATGTTAAATTACTCAAGAAATTTCTTTTAAACAAAAATACTGGCCAAACTTTTTCTTATTCTAAGCATGAATAGCATTTTAAAAATAGAGAGCGAGAGAGAGAAAGCCAAAACATTTCAACATTTTTGCATGTCTCAAATAAAATGACTAGTATAATACAGCATTCTAGAAAAAAACTAAGACTTACAAATGCTGGAGTCAATTTATTATGCAATGGAACAACAAATATTGACATATATATATATATATATATATATATATATATATATATATATATATATATATATATATATATATATATATATATATATATATATATGTATATGTATATATATATATATATATATATATATATATATATATATATATATATATATATATATATATATATATATATATATATATATATATATATGTATATATATATATATATAAATATATATATATATATATATATATATATATATATATATATATATATATATATATATATATATATATATATATATATATATATATATGTATATGTATATATATATATATATATATATATATATATATATATATATATATATATATATATATGTATATATATATATATATAAATATATATATATATATATATATATATATATATATATATATATATATATATATATATATATATATATATATATATATATATATATATATATATATATAAACATATTTAAATGAATAAATATTTATCTTTACTCCACCATTTTTTCATATAAAATATGCAATGTAAAGTATTGTACACAATGTAAAAAGACTTTTAAAAAACTCGTGTATAATGGCTGTTTTTATAAGTTTTTGTAAAATTATACATATTTTCATAGCATCAAAAATCTTTTAATGTTTTCACTTTTGTTAAATTAAAACATTTATTAAAAGTTTTTAAAGAACTGTCCCTTGCATTAAATTTAATATTTCACTATGTGAAATATAAAGTTTCATTTTAATTCTGAATTATTAGTACATTTACGTCGACGAACTCTTATCTAAATTTCATCGTAATTTCAACGCTATTTCAGCGTTTATTTTTCAACGTTAATTCAACGTTTGTTTTTAGTTGAAAATAAAAGTTGAATCAAGGTTAAAATTTTAACGTTTTTTTTTTTTTTTTAACTTTGAACTTAAGTTGAAATAACGTTGAAATTTAAATCGTTATTTTTCAACTATATATCAACGATTTCGCAAAGTTAAAATAACGTTGAAATAACGCTAAGTGCTTGCTGGGAATGAAAACACTAATTGAAAATCAAAAAATAATTATCGCCTACGCCTAAGTACGATAACGCCAGTAACATACACAACATATTAATTGCATGTACAATTTACATGGAAAGATTTATTAAAATAGCAATAACATTGATAGAAGTCTTTAAAACTCGTTATTGCCTGTTGTCTTCCTTTTATGTTCGTAGAAACTATTACCCTTAAAGAACTTGTTTTTTGTTCAAGTCCAATGTCCAAAGTAATTTTATTAAATTATCTTCGCATCATAAAAATAATTTAAAATAGGTTTGGCTAAAAAAACTGGATAATTTCGAAGTAGATGGCAATGTAGTATCCAACAACGTCAGTAACGTACATGCATGCATGTGCATTGTATATCTACATTGTATATGTTGTGCATGCATACATGTACGTTACTGGGCTTGAGAGGTTAATAATTCAATTTCTTATAATAAGTTTATAGATATTGTTATATTAAGACATTCCATAAAACTTGTTGTGTTGACAAATTTAATGAACATAATAAAAACTATGACAATTAAATCAAATAGAGGAATTCATTAAATTTAATTTAAATTTGAATAATATTAAAAAATTTATATAGTTTGTGACAATTAAGAAGCAAAAGTATTTTGTTTTTACCTAGTACTTGTCTAATTTTTTTTTTTTTTTTTTGAATTAAATAAACATCTATTTCTTAGCATAATAGCTCAGTCAAAAATTAGTTATTACTAATTTTAGTTAAATAAACATATAGTCGACTAATTTTAGTCAACTAAAAATTTATTTGACTTATTTTAGTTAACTGAAAATTAAGTTAACTAATTTTAGTTAACTAAAACTTTAGTTGACTATTTTTAGTTAACTAAAAAGTTATTCTACTAATTTGACTTAATGATTAAATTTTGCTTAACAAAAAAGTCAATTAATATAAGTTCGACTAAAAACTTAGTCAACCAGTTTTAGTTTTGGTTTTTTTTAGTTTAATTAGTTACAATTTTTAGCTTTGGTCACAACACTAATTGTTGATTGTGATAAGTAGTTTAGTTGTGAGGTTTTGTAACTTTTTGCATCTGCTGGCCTTTTTATCACTTTTTTGTCACTTACTTTAAAAATTTATTTTTTAAATACAAACTAGAACTATTTAATGAAAAAATTTCAACTCTGAAAAAATTATATATACAATTTTTTAAATATTGCAAAACTGATTGCAGCATAAAGTTTATTTTAGTTTTTCGTTTCGTATGTTAGATAATTGATATATTTACATTATTTTTTTAACTAAACAGTTAACAGTTTCCAAAATTCTCTAGAATCTAACTTCTCTGATATTATACGAGAATAAGTAAACTGGAATTAATGGAGACTAACATCAGGCAGCACCTTATAATTTTGATTTCATGCAATAATAGGAGTTTGTTTTTATGAGAGTTGTTCTTTTGAAAAAAATGATAAAGATTAAATTAAGCAACTGCACAAAAAGGTCAGAATCATGGAGTAGAATGAGGTTTGATTGGAACCAACGTGTACATACATTAAGAAAAACATACTATCTAGAGCAATACTATGT